AAGGTTTCCGTAAAATGTCGCTCAGCTGCAGTAGTCCAAACTGAGGCAGACAGGGAAGATAATGAAAGAAGCTACTGTGAACAAAGTGGTGAACATCGTAGAAAGTTAAAATATACTGAAACAACTTTATCAAGACAACCTTCCAAACAACTGAATGTTTTGTTCACTTGCAACACTGCCAATACTAACACTTCTCACTGTAATAAAGTTTAATATTGAAAAAAATGCATCAATTCTTTTTATATCTGGTGTTTAAAAGGCTAAGGAATTTAGATCATAGAAAAGATCGGTCACGGTGGTCCCCCGGAGTTCAAGCTGCATCAACGTGATGGTGATCCCGCGAATAATTTTCAATATTCTCTTTGTAACACTCGCTGATAAAGAATGGTGCGACAATGCATGACAATATCATAGAGCGCTCGGCCGATTCGATCGTTTATTTACAATGACATTGTACCTATACAATACTGTGAATGCCGCCACCGCATTATATATTATTCATAACAGCGATACTACATAACTGCGGCAAATTGCCAACAGTTTGCCGCTTGCCAACTCGATTCTGTGCAATGTGCTCAACTGCAAGCAAACGTTGTCGAACAGGTCTTTTTTTGCGGTTGGGAGGTTACCGCATTAGTATAGTATGTCATATTGGAGATTCAATTAAATTTTGTGCTATTAGTGTCTGTTAGTCGTCTCGAAACGATTTTTATATATTTTTTTCATATTCCTCACTGTTTTGTTTCTAACATTAATGATGTATCGGTTTGCTTTTAAACGACTATTATCTGGCTGGGTTTTCACACCCATTTTCTTTTGCCGTGTCTACTGGTGCTCCACTGAAGTGAAGCTCATGTATGTTTGAACGTTTTCGACGTTGTTATCCAGTGTTATACTTTAATGAAGTCCAAGTGACAGTTAAAACTGCTATATTTTTTGTTATTTTGTTGACGCGCTGTGGGGAACTATTGCCTTTTTTAAAAACTAAAATCAGTTTTTTTTCTGGAGCACATTCATTTTCTGCTATTATATATGCTCCAATAAAAAAAAAAAAGTATATCTCCTTTAATTTTGGGAGTTTAATGAATTTGAGAATTGCTTTTGAAATTTCTGTTAGTCGAATGGTTTCTTTTTATTCACTATACTCAGATTTAATAACAGATGCATTTGCTTCTATATTTTCGATATGCGTGCTTTCCGATTTTGGTCACTGTTCTTTTAAAAGATCCACTTTCGTTTTCTCGTCTAACCGCTTGTTCTATCTTTTTTATTTTTTGCAGACCTTATATTATTATGTGCAGTGAAGCAAATAAAGAATCGAAAGAGAATGCCAACGGCCTTCCAGCTCAGGAAAACGCTGCCGTTCCAGTTGACTCTAAAGTAAAGGATTGCATTTTTGCCCAATTTAGTATTTCACCTACCATTGCGTTTTTCAGCTCAACTTACTTACGGAACCTGGCTCGCATGACTTGCAGTATAAATGGACATACTGGTATTTAAATGATAATCGAGATGTTAGTTGGGAAAATCGACTTAAAAATGTGACAACTTTTGCAACAGTTGAACAGTTTTGGGGGTCTGTTTACCAGAAGATTTAACACTTTTTTGAAGCTTGAAATTACTTGCATTCGAAAGTGATCCCACAAATGCAAGCTTTGTATCGATTTTTATTTTGCAACTTTCTTGATGGGTAAAAAACATTGTCACCAGAGTAACGTTTTTAGTCTTTATTTAAATATCCGACCACCGTCATTTTTACATTCTACCTGCGACTACAGTGTGTTCAAAGAGAATATTGAACCTATGTGGGAAGTCCCAGAAAATACCAATGGTGGACGATGGCTAATAACGGTAATTTTCAACGATTTAATGCATGTTTTACAGATTATTTTTTTACTTCTGGTAATTTGAATATTTAGATTGATAAGTTGAGACAAAGTGATATCTTGGACACTATATGGCTTGAGGTACTTTTGGCCGTTATTGGAGGACAGTTTGGAGAGTATACAAAAGATATTTGTGGAATAGTCGTGAACATCCGAACCAAAGGATCGAAGGTAGGCGTGCAGTTTCTGTCAAAGTTAGATGCATTCTCTTTGTTTTAACTGTGTCAGGGCAGTCTTTCCTGGTCGTGATTTTGAAGTTTTTGAACATTAAAAAAAAAGTTTCAGTTGCGAGGCAAACAAAGTGGTAATTGTTGGGGTAGCCATTTTTGATATTTTCTTGTTTGTTATTGGAGCCAAAAATTAGTGGGCGTGAAGGTTTGGTGTTTGATGATTTTTTGAGTACATTTTTACTGTTGAAGTAATTTCCTGCTGTTGGCGAAGGAAATAGCAGTGGTTTTTTCCTTACTTTCATCATAGCATTAAGTCGAAATGATTTTGGAAGACGAGTTAGTTATGAAGCTTTAGGTATGAAGACTAATTTATTTATAGCTAGAATTTTGAGTTGGTGACTTTATGGAAATTGTGCTGTAGTTAATTTAATGAAATTAAGATGGTTTGTTGTAAAGTAGAACATAGTTAGAGGATACTTTTTTCAGTGAATATTGTTGACAAATTCAGGAATTAGGGTGACCTTGCCGGTTATTTTTTTTTTTTGTTTTTGTTTTTTGTCTTGTCTTGTTTTGTTTTTTAATTAACAACGTGGTCTGTTGTATGGCTTAACAGCCTCATTTTTAAAAATTTTTTACATTGTTTTTTTGGAGCGATTGAGAAAGAAGTCTCCTTATTTCATGAAGCTAAAGGAATTTTATGCAGTGTTCATTGAGGTACATTGTAGATCAGTATTTGGACGACAGATGCAAGCAATGACGAGTCAAATAGGAGTATTGGGTAAGCTATTTTTGATCATAATTTGTAGCAGTGTACTTTACACCAAGTCTTTAATTACCTGTCTCAAACATTTTATTATTTTTTTTAATTTGTAGGGAAATCCTGAAACGCACTCTTACTAATCCTGAAATTGAGCTAAAAGGATCAGGCCCCCTGTTCGAAGTTCTTCGTTACGAGGAACATCGAGAGGTTCAGAACAAAAGTTCTAGCAGTGTAAAAGCAAAGTTTGTTCTCAATATACACGACTGAGTGAACGTGTTTCACGATTGGGATTAAAAATTTTGTTAAGTTATGATATGGTTGTTAAATTTTGTTGGTTTGTTGTTGTTGTGATTGCTGCAGATATCTGCAAGTCATTTTCCACAGTGTTTCTCACTTCTTTAAGGCGAGAGATTCTGTTTCAGGTGCCGAAAAAGTTTTATTTTTTTAATTTTCGTTTTGTTTGCAGCATTCACAGTGCCTCTAGTAACTTAGAATCTAAGGTGTTGTCGAGAGGTTCCAGTAAAAACAGCTCTGATTAGATTATATTTTAGAATTTGTTTGAAGATGTTGTTTAATTTATGGCTACGGGAGAATTTGTTGATATTTTTGACTTCTCGGATTTGGCTTAAAAATTCTAAATTTTTATTGGTAGTTGTATGTTTTGTTTTTGTTTTATCTTGTTTATTAAGCAGTGCCTTTGAAGTTTAATCAATTAATGAATTTTAGTTGAAGTTTCTTTCCCTTATCAGTGAGGAAGGTTGCTAACTAATGTTTTTCATTTTTTTACCGCTCGAGACTTGTTTCGAACTACTAAAGACTTCTTGAGCTCGCCTGAATCCGGTGTCATTTTTCAATCAGTGCCTATTTCGGGAGCCGTATATCTCAAAATATTAGTGAGATTTGTCATTGCTTATTGCTTATGCTATATAAGTTCAGCTTTTTCTTGCTGTGGATTATTGTTATTACTATTATCATAATCAGATTATTATTGTTATTAATATTATTATTATTTCCTTTTTTTGTGCAGTACTCAGATGATGCCGTTCACTTAGTATGTTATACTGCTTATGTTTGCATACAGATGATGCTATAGTGAATTATTATTGATGATGCTAAGTGTAATAATGATCAAATTATATGCGTCTGATTAGGCTAAGATCTGAGCACGCAGTCTTTTGACTATACTTCTGTTGTTTATTGTGCTTTGGTTTCTTTAGCGGGTATTCGTACTGCAGCGCAGTTTGCGTTTTTTTTTCTTGGTCGAGGCAATGCCATTATTTGTGAATTTTGAGTTTTTATCTCTGTTTTCATATATTTCTTAATTAAAGTTTTCAATTTCTTAACTTTTATTTTATTTCGCAGAGCAGAATTTTCCATAATCACCTTGCATAATGTTTGTTGATTGCCTTTACGAGTACTTGCGGTGTACAGTAAAGTTCACCGCAGTTTTTCTGAGAGCAAGTGTCTAGAGACATGGTTGATGTGGTGAGTGCTAATGAGTGATTGTTGGGACTGTTGAAGAGGTTAGAGGGTTTGTGTAGCAGTTTTTAGAAGTTTGTCTGCAATTACTGCTTTTTTCCTTGACAGGGGCTTTATTTTCATTGCGCTGTGTTTTAGGTTCCAATTTGTTATTTGGTGGTGGGTTCGTGTTACGTACTTTTCGTAGTGGTTTTTTTGGATGGTGCCAGTGTGGGAATTTGTAAAGCGGCATCGTCGGAAAATTGTTGTTTTTGGGTTATCAGTTGGCGCTTTGTATGCTGTACGTGAAGGACTGTCAAAGGTGATTGAAAGGTCTAACGTGGAAGAGGGAACAAGTCAGGAAATCGATTGTTATGCCGTTCAGGTGGTTTTTGTATTTCCTACCTTGTCTTTTTTTTTACATCATGTTATCTCTTTTATCGTCTAGAACCATGTCACTATGGTATTAGGTCGTTAAGGGATGTAACCTTGGTACGTTAAGCTGTTGTATGATACCCTATCTTTATGTCGCTGGGACTTGTGATCTTCATGGGGGTAAAGTTGGTGGATTTGTTGCTGGTTTAAAGACGCTTCAAATACATTAGGAAAGTAATAGAGTGGTTTTGGAAGCCAAACTAATCTGTTTTTCAAGATTCGTTATTGTTTTTGTTGCCTTTTTGAACAGGTAGGTCGATTTAATTACCGATACACCCTTGGCCATCCGTCGCTTCATGGACGGTTTTTTTTTTCGTGGTTTTCTGCAGCGTGTTCTCGACATTTAATTTTGTTTTTAGAATATTTGCACTTTTAAGGCGCGTAGAGATTATGTTTACGATTCCAACCACCGGTCTTGCGACTCTTCAATACTGGAATTAGTTCCTTTGATACAAGCAAAATTGGAAAACAAGTTTGATGTGGAAACAATTATTGAAAGTTTACGAATGGGGAATTTGAGTAGTGAGGAACGGCTGACGTTGTGGCAAAGGGTGAAGGTAAATTTGTTTGGGAAAACTGTTAAAACTCCTTATTATTTTCTTTTGGTATCTAAAAAAAAACATCAGCGATTAGATACTTTTCTATTTTTGCTGGAAGATAATTCATTTTTCAGATTAGTTTTTCAATCTTGTTCTTTGTAGAGAACTACAACTTTTAAATTTCATTTCCTCTTTGAAAAAGTAGTTAAAAATTTTTGAACTTGAGCGTAGAAGCTATTTCTTTGCAAAGTTTAGTTTCCCAGTGGTTAAAGTTTACTGTTCTGCAAGAGCTGTTTGATGTACTTTTGACTAGTGTGTTTCGTGTCAGAGTATGCGAGATTTAATAAGCCTCTCGACATTCTCTTACTAGGATTTTTCTTATTAATCGGTCTGAAAAAAGCATTCTACCTTAGTCAAAGCAAAAAAAATGTTTCAAAAACATTTTAACAAAAGGTGTTTTCAGTTTATTTGTGTTACTTTTTACATTTGCACTCAGAATTTTGACGAAGTAAGAAATAGGCTCTGGTGAAACTTGTTTAATAGATGGGAATTTATTGCAAGAATTGGAAATGTATAGTGTTTTCTTTTTTTAAAAGTATAATTGTAGGTACGATTTTTGGTTTTTGTCTTTTTGAGGTTTTTAATTCTTGCACTAAAGTTTTAGTCTTTTTATAGTTTTTTGCTTTGCTTATTAATTTAATAACCATACATTATCGATGGATATTTTAAATTTAAGGTCATTTCATTTGCTCGCCTTGTTGCACTTCTTTATTCACTGTGCCTGATGACGCTTTCCTTAAAATTACAAATATCTATTTTGGCGTCAAAAATTTGTTTAACAAATGAACAGTCTGTAGATCCTTCTTGGTATGATTTCTTTGTGTTAGAATTTTATGGTTGAAATTAATGCGACAGAATTACCCTTCTTATATGTTTCCGTTTTTCATTAAGCATATTGTATTTTGCAGGTGGACTAACTATGTTCCGGCGTTTCTCAAAACTGGTGAGAAATATGAGGAACGAAACAACGAAATGGTAGCAAGTGCTCAGAAAGTCTTTCTGAAATTAATTAATTACTTTTTAGAGGATGGTTAGCAAAAAAAATCTCATTTTTTAACTTTCTTAAAATTGATAATAAATCTTCAAATTTTCTAATTTTTTCGCAAGTTGCTAGTTTATAACTCGATTTGAAACAGGGTTTCAGGGATCTTAAATTTATCTAAAAAAGTGGAAGATGTTACTCAACAAGAGTTAAAAACGGTGTCTCTAAAAACTTCTGTTGATGCTGACAAGTTAGAAGAAATATTATCAAATATTAGAAATAAACTGGGAACTGCCACCAGTATCAACTTTTCAGCTTTCATTGTTCCCGAGATTTCTAACGAGGTTAGATTTTTACCTAATTATTAGGTTCCCAGTATCTTACCAACTTTGAACATCCCGTTCAATTATAAACTCTTTTTGAAAAGTTTGTTTTTGTATAGACAGTCTTGCTCTTAAAATTATTCTCTTAAATAGATTTTCTTTAGGTTGGAACAATTAATTTAGCTTTCTAATTGTCTCTTACAGGTGGTGGCAAAGGAGAATGGTGAACTGTTCTGTTTGCTAAAAAAATTTACAGGAGTGCTGAAAACAGATAGGTTTCACATCGTTTTAAGCGCCATAGTAGATCACTACGTTCGTGCTGTCATTAAGGTTACTTTTTTTGTATGTATCTTTCAATAATCGACGGTTGGACTGCACCAAAAATCTGTCTAGTTACTTATATAATAATAAAAGTAATGTTTTAGCTTTACTGGAGCTGTGCTGTTTTCACCGCGCTCTTTTCATATTTGTTGAAGTCTTATAATTCAGTCAATATAGACTTGCGCTGTAATTGTTGAACAAGATTGAAAATTATCTTTACATTCTAAATAGCGTTTCTCAAGTCAACTTTTCATATGAGTTTAGGCGGTCATTGGGAAAACGAACGCGCAGCCACTTCCGATGGCAAAGTTATTACCGGTAATCTCTGATGTTTTCTACTTCTTGGCGAAAACAACTTCAGATTCAGCTTTGGGAACTTCATTGAGTTGTTCCGAATTAGTCGTTTTTTCTAAGAATGTGTTCTTAGATGGAACTCTGCAATAGGTTGCAAGATTTAGCTGATGGTAATTTGCATTGGGACTTCACTGTTGTTGTATTAGTTTTTTTAATTTTAGTTTTGCCTTTGTACTTCTTTTTTCTTTTGATGTTTTTTGTTTGTCAGCTTATAAAAAGAAGTCATTTGCAGTAATAGATTAAGTTGCCTTACTATACTTTATCATTTATCTGTTAATTTATGGCTCCAGTAATTTTTAAACAATAAATTTTCTTTTATGCTCTTGGTGTACATTGCACGATAAAACTTTTCCAAATTGTGGACTTTTTAACTTGTCTTACATCCTATCCTGAATAAGTTAAACTTTGTTTAAGGTTTTAGTTGCCAGCGCTTTCCCCGTCCTACACTCACATTGGGTGAGTTGCTGAGAGAAGTTTTGAGTGAACTGGCATCAGAGTTTTTCTGAGTGAAGTTACAGAAAGTAGTTTGAAGAGCAACCATGTTCTTATTCTGAAATAGACTGCTCCCATTTGGCAGTTTAACTGCTGCTACTGGATATTTAGTTTGAGGCTGTTACACAATTTTCAATTTCATAATAAGAAGTTGTCCTTATATTTTCATTTGATTCATCAAGTGATTTGACGCTTTTGAAGCCGGAGCCGGATACTGTCAGGTACAGTCAATATAGACAACAAAGCCTTTATTGAAGACAGGGGGGAAAAAAGGATCAAAACTGCCAGAAAAAAGTAAACAACTAGGAATGTGGAGAAGTATAGAACGACTTTTTTGTTCAAAATTTTTACCATCTCATGTTTTTTTGATTTTGCTTCGGAAACATCCTGATTACTACAATATTATTCAAAAAATTGTCTTTATTTGAGATGTTTTAGAAAAGACAACAAAAAAGTGGCAGCTGGCAGTTTTCACCAAATAGGATCTAGAAATATTATAAACTGTTAGAAATTTATTTGAAAAAAACGTGACCAAGGTTTAAAGATTTGTTGAATTATTTGTTTATTTCAAGGTGTAGACAACTTATTTGGTGGCCAAAAGGCAGCAATTATCTTTATAACATCTGCTTTAATTATTGCAAATAGAATACATGGCATAAAACAGTGAATAGAGGAAAAAAAAGCAACAATCAAATGTTAAACTTTTTTGTCGATACAGTGTCCACGTAGTAAAATTTCTAATTTTACAAACATTTGTTCCAAAAAATATATGGACTGAACAGAAAGTACCGTTATGGCCTAAAGAAATAAAAGTTAAGGACAGAAGAAAAAAGATGGACAAAATTTCTATATTATTTAGCAATAAACCTTTAATTTATAAAGGCAAGAGAATAAAAATATGATTTGGTGCGTTGTTTAATGGGATATCTAACAGTATGGATGAACAGTTCCCGTTGGCAGACGGACGCTGATACATATAACAACAAGTTTACTACAATTCTGCGGAACCATATCGCAAATTAAATGTCACTGTTTTTTGGTGCTGCCACAGATCATATAAATTAACAGTTGAACGTACATAGCCAACGGCATACTGGATCCAAATATTATCATTGGAACCAGTATTTTTGTGATACAACTGTGCCTTATTAAATGTTTTCTTAACTAATCAACTGCTAAAACTTAATGATAATAATAAGAATAATGATGATGGTAGATCGATTGATCACCTATGATACATCATCCTATACAGTACCCTTTAACAGCCGGATTCTACAATTTAGAACGGATAGGCTGCAGATATGGCTTCTTTTTCCCAGTTGTAAAAAAATGGAAATTTAAATCGTTCCAAATAATCCTATAACCTTTCAAAAAAATTTAATTTTGGTCAAAAATTCAAATTTTTTGGAACAGTTATCACCTTCTCCTAAGAAACCATATGTCGCCAACAACTGAAAGCAGAATCCATTGCCAATTGAGCAGAAACTAGAAGTCGAACTCCGTTGGAAACTGAAAGTGACAAGAGAGTGGAAAAAAAGACTGGAAAACAAACAATATTGGTCATTGGCCATCTGTTATGGCTTTGGTAATTAGACACCAATAAAATATAGAAATTTTAATGAATTTATACCCGAATCAAAAAATGAAAAAAAAATTGATGGAGCAATACAATAAAAATATATTTAGCTTTTCTTTATGGCTGTTGTAAGGTATGCCAACGGGCCTGAGATTTTTCTTCTCGGATTATTGCCCTCCACAATTCCTTACAACTGGATAATGGTAATTTCATTTTACCGATCACTTTAGAACCCATTCCAAATGTTCCATGTTCATGCAACACCTAAAATAACATCGTTTTTTATTTACCGAACATAGTTAAGTGTAATTAAGTTTAAAAGCATCCAAAAAGTTACATAGCTTATTCTTCTTCTCTGCAAAAAAACTAATTTTCTACCTCAAATTCAAGATTAATGTCACAGAGGTGGCTTTTGGCTACACTAAAAGATAAGGATTCATTGAATTGTGGATTACGTGTCTTCTTCTTTGTTGACGTCTTTTTCCGTTTTAAACGTTTATCGTCACCACTAATCAGCGAAACCCGAACCGATATAGCTGAAAAAAAAGAAGATCAAAATTAACTGTTACTTTGTATCATTGATGAAGGTTTTCAAAAAAAAAAAAAAAAAAAAAAAAAAAA